AAAAGATCAGTTTGAAACATGTAAAGAATTTGAATAGTCTGATGAAGCAGATGAACCGAAAGAATCCCAATAGACGAATTTGAAGAATGATGAATTATACCTAATCATTCGAATAATTTCAACTTTATGAATTGATATGTTTTCCGGATTATGCGAATCTAATTTAGAAGAAGTCCGAGGTCTAAAAAATCCAAACTAACGATGAACCGGGAGAATCCGGCAAACCTGATCAAACAAAGGATTTGAAGAATTTGATACAAATGTTTTGGAAGAGACCGACGACGACGTATTCGATTAAATGGTTGAACCCTCAAAATTGGTTGCATCTGAAGAATTTAAATTCTGAAAAAACCGCAACAATTTTACGAAGTTGTACGTTTGAAGAATAATAAAATGGGGATGAGGAAAGATTCCAAAAATCCGAAAAGGACAGACAGAATTCGAAAGAATGCGAGGACTCATTTGATGAATTTGAAGAATCTCCGGAGATCGTGGAGACCGTTTTGAAACATATTTGAAAAATCTCGTATTAAACATTTTAAGAATTTGAACAGTAGGTATGAAGAAACCGAAAAATCCAAAAAGAACAATGTAAAAAAAGTGAAGAGTGAATAATTAAGTTATTATCCAAACATTCTAATAATTTAAATTTATGAATTGTGTCTCCCACATTGTCTGAAATTCCAACCCAACTTATACAGTTTCTAGTTCAGAATTTGATATTAATTTGATTAATTAATTTGATATACAGGGTGAGTTTTTTTTTTCATTTTCATTATGAGGATTTCATAAACCGCAGTTATGCACAATTTTATGCTGATCAACTTTCCCATTCAAAGTTTTTTTGTAGTTCCACAAATAGGAAAATTATAACGAGAAAACCGAAAAATGTCATTTTCGAAAATGCACTGGAAAAATTCCGTATGGCGTCCAGAAGAAATAAGAAAGTCGATGTGATTTACTCAAAACCCACAAGCGATAAAAATTTTATTTTAGCACCATCAGAAAGCTGAGAAAATATCACTAAGGGTTTCATTCAAAATTATATTATGACATGTTACCGCTTCCCCCCACTCTTGACAAGTTAATACACTCCCAGAAACGCTTTGCCACATTGCCTTGCACCCTTTTTTTGCAGTATAGAAGATATGAGCGCAAGATTTAGGGTTGAGGTACGCGGAAATGTAAAAAGGAATTTTATTGTGCCTCCCCATGTTAATTTTTTGGGTTTTAAAATGCTAAAAAGACTATTAAAGACGTTTAAAAAGACTATTTTTATCGCATTTTAGATGTTGTAAGACTATGCCACTCCAATTAACCCATATTCCCCTAACTAAATAAGTATTAACTGTGTGGAGGAAACATAAGTTAACAATAAGTACTATAAATGGAAAAAACTGAGTCTCCTCGTGAAGAGCTAAAGAGAAACGATAAAGCTCGACGTATAGGTTTTTATTAGATCTGAGAAACATTCGTTTTCAGTGGACGGTCAGAATGAATAAAAAGTATTAATGACCTTCGTCGTGTGTTGTCTCGTTTTACTTCAACGGGCTGCATTTTAGAGGCCATTATAAAATATGTAAGTCACTTAGGAGGTATTCATTAAAATGTAGACACTACGGTTTACATTCCCTAACGATTTAATAAAAATAAACAAAGTGTCCACCAACTATTTTTACCTTTATCTTTACAGTCATTCACATGAATATTCAAAGTTTTCCTTCTCGTCACCGACCAAGTTACCTTATATATTAACATCGATTAGTAATTTATTTATGGGCAATAATCGAATAAAATCGACAGCTTTCGGATGTCCATATTACTCTTTTAAAATACGATGTCGTATGCTTGCACGGAAAAGGTTATAAACTACGCAATAACTTTAGCAATGACCACTGTCCGACATCGAGCTGCTATAAATTAATTTAACAACTTTAGGGCGTCTTAACGCTAGCCACAATTTACAGGGCCGCTGGGAATACGCTCAATTTATACCCGTAATGTGCAACTTTTAGGTTAAAAAATATACACATTTTAGCGTAGTTCGTGAGAAGTAGTAAAAAAAATTTCGCCTCATTAAAAATATATCGTGCGCGTATCCAGTAATCGCATTCACCTAAATTGGTGTATGCGGATTTGCTTTGTTAGAAAAAAAAAACGATTCAACCACACACAGAGAGAGCCGAGGCGGGATGTGTATACTAAATTAATTAAACAAATATAGCAAACTCCTGGGTATGGCTAAAGCTATGCTCATTTTGAATTTCATGCAATTCGATGCATAGCTAACGGATATGTCAAAAGGGCCTTCTGTATTTTTTGGCTTACATTGCCAATTCACGAACTCCGATCTACAAATTTGGTACAGAATCCACCTGAAAAATTTCATCGTAATCGTTCCATTCGTTTTTGAGATATCGTGCTAACGGACGGGCAGACGGACCCCATATAGCTCAATAACTTTCATAATTATGTCAGTAATATTTCACTGAAACATTGCATATATTTCAGTAATATTACGAAACATTTTCGAAATATTCCTGCAACATTTATAAATGCTAAAATGTCCGCACATATTTCTCATTTCTGAAATATTTCTGATGCTTTTTGGTGAAATGTTTCTGTCATGCTTTGAAAATATTTCATACAATGTTCATATATATTTATTTATAGACTAAATGTACACTATAATAAATTTATATATAAATGCATAAAACATAACTAATTAGTATGCTTATTGGGGGGTAGGTTCCACCATCAATTGCTCGGCTGGTAGCCGCTTATTACTGCAACAAAAAATATTGTTTAGTTTCATGATTAAATAAATACAATACAAGGGAGGAAAAATGATTGTATTTTTTTACACTGTACCATCAGACTTATTTGAGTTATACGCCACATCAAATGCTTGGCCTTGTCTTTTGACAATAGTAGCATTTATATACGGCCGATATTATAAGCATACTTGACTATGTAATCAGCTAACAATGTTGTTAAGGCATGTGACTGGATGTTTTTTCAAAGAATAACATCACTTTTTGCAAAAACATCCAATCACTTGTCCTAACAACATTGTTAGCTAACAAACATAGTTAAGTATGCCTTATAATTCCGCCCGTTAATGATGTACTTATTGTAGATGTTAAGATATAATATAAAAATAAGAGAGTAAACATACTTACATTTCACGTGCCATTCTTAAACCAGACTGACTTAACCAGGTTGCTATGCAACCAGAAATGTCGACTTCTGTTGCACACGATTTGTGATATCGAACAGCACTTATTATCATTTGATAAGAAAGTAAATTTTTAAAGATTTTCTTTTTCTTTTTTCCTTGCAAACTATACTCCACAGCCACCTTGTTGCTTAAAAGTTTTTTTAAGATATTTACAGTCAGCGACTGTACATCATGGCCACCAATTGTTGTAAATTCAGACACCTATAATATACATTTTAGAAAATGAAATATTGCCATTGGTTGTTACCATTTTCTTAAAATAAGTTTCACCTTCCAGCTCTTTTTCAAAATTGTCAAGTTCTTCGTGACTGCCTAAGGGAAAAATTTTGTACAAATCTTGCACAGTTTTAGTTAACTGCACTGTCTGAGATTGTTGCACACTATCTAAGGTATTTAATCGGTTTTCTATTACATGCAATTTATGCAATATTAAGTTTAATTTTCTGTTTATATCTGTAGCACCACCTAAAATCAATAATTTAAATCTTAATCAATTAATGATTTTCCTTACCAGGTTCAAAATCACCTCTAGATACAGGTGTAGATACACCAGTGGATACATCAGACCCATCAGCCTTCTCTGGACCATTATCTTCTGTTTCTCTTAATCTCGAGAGCAATGAGGGTATAGGTGGGAACGGAGGCATTTGCGTCAGTTTTGTATCACTTCCAGTTGAGGATTCTTCATCACTTTCATAGATGACTCTTAATCTTTTTTTGTTACTCTTACTATGGGCTTCATCAGTATCCACACAGGCCGCGTCTCGTTTGGAACAGTGTCTTTGATGCCTGCTTCTTTTTACCGCATCATCTTCTACTTCAACATCGGATAATAGTAAGGCATATTCAAGTTTCTCCTTCCCTTTTTCATAGGTAGCTAAAAAAATTAACACCAAATTAAAAAACAGAATTTAGAAAAGTGGTGTTGGTACTTACGGGTTTGACAAAATATTTTAAGTAGTTTATGTTTTTTCCAGTTTGACTCTGGGTTGTGATTCCCAGATACTAATCTATTTATTTGAAATTTATCATTGCAGTTGGGAGGCCACCAGCACATATCAATATTACATTCCTTGAAAATCCAACTAGTGGGTACTACTTGTACCCCATCTGAGAATTCTACGACTGAATAACTCATTATTTTGGAATTCCCAAAATTTTCTGAACTAAAAATAATATATAAGTAAATATGTAAAAATTTTAGCAGGTAAGTACCTATGGTATCAATGAGTAATTTATATGCAACATGCTATTGGTGGTATTAATATGTACAAATATGTATTAAAGATTGATTAATTATTATCGATTAACTATGAATTTGTATGTAATAATGGAATTGCAACAAAAGTTGATTGCTGATATGGTACCATCCACAATTTGTATTTTGTTGCTGAAATGTCTCGTATAGTGACATTGTTTGAATGGGATGGTTCTCTAACAATGTAAATATCTAGATCTCTTGAACTGCAGGGCTGAGAGTACAATGCAGATTCTAGTTTTTTTAAACATTTGCCCACAAAACGTACATTTTTATTCCCTTCTTCACAAATGATGTTCAAAACACAAAAAATTTCTCCACTGTGTAAAAGGATGCAACTATCTTTAAAATGTCTAGAATCTATTATATATTTCTCACTTTCATATATTTTAAACTGAAGAATATTGTTTATAAAAGCAAGGCTATCAATTGACAATTCTTCACTGTGCAATTTCTTTAAATGTACTTTTGACGTTGGATTTAAATTTATAAGTTGTTCAAGTTCAGTATAACCTAAAAGCGCTAAAATTGTCTAGAGATCCAAACTTTTTAGCGTCATCTGCAATATGAATTAAATTATGGACATTGTGTGAAATTTTATCATTTCCATAAATAATTCCAAAAGATTGCACAAAATGTATCAACAGATTCTCAGCATATACAATATAATTATTATCTTCAGATATGTTAGGATTACATAATATTCGAATTGCAGTATGTAATGTCAAAAAGTTTAAGTACATATCAGCACTTAAATATTTTTTTAATACAACAGGTCCAACATACAATAAAAATGAGCGAAACTCTGTTCCTTTCCAATGATGTATGTCTGACAACGATCGAGGTTTCCGCACAATTTCTCTTGGAACAGTCTTTTGGCATTTCAATATATCTGAAGATATTTTATTTATTGTCATTCCAGGGATTCTGATATTAAGGGGTTTTCCAGACATCCACAAAAGAATGAGTTTTTTTACAACTCCCAAGCATATAAGGTGTAAATAATCCAAAGGGACATTTAAAACTGGATTAAAATTGGGTATGTTTAAGAAAGGACTTTTATCATATTGAAACTCCTCATCACCATCTTGCCAAAAATCTTCGCTCTTCCTTAATATATTGCTTCCACCCGATCCAAATGGAAAACATATACGATTGTTGATATATTGTCCTTCTATTTTGCATTTACTGCAGCTGTTATAACCTGTGTGACCTTTTATACACAAAGCAAAAGATTTCGCTGGAGCATCACAAATGAGTGCAGATATGTTCACCTTATATATTTTATTGTTTAAACAATACCCATTCTGCACAAGTAATATAGCTTCATCAACAAACTGTTGGAGATACAAAGCGACGTCAGTAGGTTTTTCGTGACCGTAGTATGACCCGACCATAAAAACTTGTTTTGTTACGTTGTCAGAACACAATATTGGCCATAAACATGCTGTAGAAGAACGAGAAATAGGTAGTCCGTCAATATTTATTAAAAGATCAATTTCATTATTATGTTGAACTTGTTGATTTATCATTTTTTTCAGTGCATTCTCTAAACCCAAGTGTAGATATTGACCCCTTCCCATACTTTTTACAATTGTGTGACGAGGAGTTTGTAGTAAAGTTCGAGCGTCTTTAGGTAACGAATAAGTTGTGAAATTGTTTATAATATGTAACAGTGCTGACACTGCATTTAAATTAACATTGAAGATTAGAGCCCAATTTGCAAGTTGTTCTTGTAGTTGAATTGATGAATCATTATGAACATGTGGAGTATCTCGAGGGGGGTCCACACTCACAACAGTCTCTGTATTCTTAAAAGCAATATGTTCAGTGTTGTGTAAAATCGGTCCAGAACAATATTCATCTCCAACATCTACATATTCACACAAGTTTTCATTGGAATGCGATGCTGCACTTGTAACATTACTATCAAACGTTGCAGTTTTACAAACCGTATTGTGGGTATTTTGACTACACTGAGAATGGAATCGATTAACAATTACAGAAATTGGATTCTCCTCGGGATTCCCCAATGAATCATTCTTCGAGTTATTCCCAACGACTAGGTTAGATTTTGTATTTTTGTTTAGCAATCGTCTTCTATGTCTTAGGGATATGTTATTATAATTTTTTAATTTAATTCTTCCCATGTTTGGAAATCTGCAAAGAAGTTGGTATGTTAGCGCAGCAAAAGATTCTGTTAGCGATCAACTTCCGCTGATTACATTCCTGATATTGTAGGCCAAAAACACATATGCAATGTATTAGCTATACTTGGAGAGGGCACAAAATAAACAGCCAAATTGTTCGCCAAAAGCTTTAAAGTTTAGGACCTTCTTTGCATGTCCTGAAAAATATTACGAACACAAAGGTATTTATTTTTAAGACATGGTACGAAATACTTTTGGACGCCATTTATTAATGTAAGTCAACGAATTCATTGGGAGGGGAAATTAACCACCTTATGCTATTGCTGTATTAGTCATTTATGCCTGTATTAGTAGGTAGTCGTGTATTGATCCGAGATCGAAGATTAATTCTCGTTTTCTATAGAAAACGTCACTTGTCAATCCGAGATTACTTCGATCTCGGATCAATACACGAATATTAGTACGGGCATTAGTGGTGTTCAATGCTTGAATCGATAGGCAAGGATTTATATCTCTTTGATAACTTTATTGCACCACAAGGTCGATACGATTACTATCGATACCGAAAAAATGTATCGTCGAAATTCACTTCTTTACAGTTCACAGTTTCAGCAAAACCGATCGCGATAGGTACGTAGCGTAATCGAAACCTATATGTGATAGCGATTCATGCTTTGAACGGGCTATTTATTTTCAACCGCCTTTTCATACATTTAAGGTTATGTGACATAAAATAAGGTATTACAATTCCTGGGCGCACAGCTTTTAGATTAAAATTTTAAGAACGAATAAAAATATACATACCTGGTAATTGAAAGCATTTTAAGAACGAATAAAAATATACATACCTGGTAATTGAAAGCACTAAAATCTTACGCAGGTAATTAACCGCCGGCCGGTAAAAAAGGTCACAACAAAAACGCAATATCAATACACGATAAGATTTACCCCGATCCTGCAATTGCACCAGTTAAAACCGATCGCTCGAAGGTTACCGATGTGTTATAATCTTAGTTGTGTCATGTAAATGGCATCTCATCTGAATTTAAAACAAAATGCGATCGCGATGGTAAACGATGTACTCCGAGGATGTCATTGTTGAATTGTGGTTAAATATTCCTTGAGCTTACATAGAGTACATTACAATATTACATTACAATATACTAATTGTTGTTTTTCCTTCATTCCAAAGTTCAATTAAGTAAAAAATAATGAATGCAAGATTTCTAACATGGAATGTTTCATCAAGATTTCGGTTTATTTAAATTGCAATATTTCAAAACGACATGTTGCTGAAACATTTGCTTTGAAATGTAAGATTCTTGACGGATTGGCATGTTTCTGAAATATTTCCGAAGCCTTGGGTGCTATATGGGGGATTGTACATTTGCAAGTATAACCATAACCTAAACTTTATTTTGTACTGTTCCCTCCGTGATTTTCAGTATGTGAAAATGGTACGAAAGTAAGAACACATTGCTATCTGATTATTACCGTGAAGAACGAATAGGCGAACGCTGTTAACATACCAAACATAACCTCACTATTGTTAAAAACGGACCAACGGAAACGTAAATGTTCAACTTCAACCAACTTTTCCGTCGTAAACGGACGACGTACGATTTAAAAATTTGCTGTCTTCTGATTGGCTAACGGACAAACGGAAACGTATGAACGGAGAGCTATGAACTTCCCTTTCCCCGCCATACAACGTACTATTTGTTTACGCACGAGGTCGGAAGCGGAGCCATTTTGGTACAGGATTCCCGTCGGCCATTTTGTGTGTTCGCCCCGTACCTTCCAAAGTAAGTTAATTCCTTCGTGGTGCGAGAAACCCTACGCTGGATCAACCTCCAGTTGAAGGTGACGACAACCGGTGTACTGATTACAATTGCAGCAATCTCGTCTGTGTTTACACGATTTTAGTTTACCCTGAGATTCACATACCGATGACTACAGTGCCCCGATCCGTGGCCACCCATTTCGTATTGAAACCATAGCAGACCATGTACTGTATGGTATAAGCACTAAAGCTATACTGCAATCTTAGTTGGCCACGATATGTCACAAAATACGGTAAGTAACCAATATCGCGTCGATTTCTCTTAGGATGCACCTAATCTGCGCTTTTTTTTTTAATAAGGAGCTTCTTTGTATTTAGTATTGCTAGGGATGTTTGCCAGTAATTAACTAAAATAATAACTGTAACCGGACCTAATTAAAAGAATGGTTACACTCGCGGGCTTAATTAAAGTATTGAAATTGTATTGAGCAATGACTAATTTAAAACGAGAAGGGAATTCTATTGTATTTTCTACTTGCCTAGTGGCTTTTAAACTTCGAATGGACAATCGGTGAGAACTTTTCCGGAGTTACGTGAAAACGAGATGAAGATTAATTAACTGCTGAAATGAATTATTTCTGTTTAAAGCAATTTCTTGTATTCAATCGCATTGTGACGAGGCAGAGATGCCACATTTTCTTTATCTAAACTCGCCCCCTACGGCTTTAATAGTAAACAATCAGAAAACCAAAGCAACGCAGACTTCTATAACCATATGAAGAACCTTAATTTTCCCAGATGCGGTGCATAAGTTTTTTTTGCGGACTTTCACAATAACATAGTGACGTATGAGACCGGAAACCAACGCCCTTTTGTGGGACGACAATCGGAAGCCATGTAGCGACCCCTATTTATACTTTTGAAAGAATATTGCTATTTGTACCGAGAACTCCTGTTGGGTCAAAATTTTGCTTTTGCTGTTAAACGCAAATTCAATTATTGTTTTCCATTTCATATTAATTACGGTTTTTCAGTATTCGAGTCACCCGACGTGACAAACGTTAGATTTTTTTTCGCACTTTATATCCCTCTCTTTTATTTTGTGTTTGTATCTGATTGCGGATTATTGGTAGAGAGCACTCTTCTGAGTTCAGGCGGCCGTGCCCAGGATGCAAAGATAATATTTTATTTCGTCGAAAGTTTTCGATACAGCCGAATAGTAATTAATATATTTTTTGTTATAGTCATTTAAATAATTATAACTGCGTTATTCCTGAGGAAGTATTTATTTTGATAATTACTTTCTGACTAGGAGTTGATCCGTTTTTAACACTCGCAAGTTATAGTATAGTCTCGGTGCTTAGGTCCTAAATTGAAATAAAGTTCGCACTTTTACAATAAGTGCACAAGCAGTGAAGCCAATTTGTGAGTGTGTCAAATTAACTTGTTTAATTTTGTGGTAAATAAATTCAAAAACAATGACGGTTTTCACTATAGCAAAAGGGTGGAAATTGTTTCGATTTTTTTTTAAATGGCGATTCTGCCTTCACAAATTCGCTTCATTGCGTGTGCAGTTATTGCACTTATGTCAGATGTTCTTATCTGACACAAGCTCTCAATTATTTCAACTTCAACGCCTACTTAATAAACATTTAAAACGGCTCTGCAAATCCATTTAAATCGAGTTTTCTCTGGAACTACTGATCGAATTTGAAAAATAAAAACAGTTCTGAAACCATAATGAACATTCCTTTCGACCTATCTAACACTTATTATCCCTTCCCGTTTAAAATGTTTGGGGTGAAATTCACCCTCTTGTCAGGGTTAAAGTTATGTAAGCAGTATTACTTAATTTAGGTGTCCCCCTCAAAACTAAAAATAACGTGTTCGAGGGTTTATGGCAAAACTGTCGTTAAGTTAGCAAAATTGGCATTGACTGTTTTCAGTGGACCACCCTGTACATTGCATATAACATGCACATACTATGTGGGATTTTGTATATCCATAGAATGTGGAAAAGTATGTCCGATGTATCTGCAACGGACATGTTTTGGATGTCTTATGTATAATATTCATGTAAGTATATGCATTAGACATGCTGTGTAAATTGGTATACTGACAAGTGGATATACCATGAATATCACTGTAATGTGGAAAGATGTTCAATACGATATTCCATGTATGTTTAATACATTCAGAATGGATGTTCTATAGAGATTCCTGTAATATTCGGGAAGCTTCCTAGCATTTATACATAAATAAATTCTTTTTAATGAGAATCCTTAAATTTTATTGGCAATGAAATACCGAACGGATAAAAAAATAATATGCATGCTATTCATAAACGAGTAAGTAGTGAGTAGTTTTTGTGAGATCTATTTGCTGAAAATCGCAGTTTGACCGGATATTTTGGATTATTAACACTTTCTGTCAATCGATCGCATGTGGCGTGGTATGTGTGTTCGGGCCCTGAGCGCCTATTTTTATTTCAGCCTTATTTCATTGATTTTGTCTAAAAGATTTGCTTCATCTGTAAATGCATAGTTTTGTGTTTAATCGAGCCCAAGTTGCGACCTAGATGTTAAATTTTTCTGTTGGTACCCAAGGTTATGCCAAGTGTTTAATTAAAAAATTGTCATATAATTCTTTGTAATTGTGGAGTTGATGAAAGCTGCGGAGTTTTACCAAAATTGATAAAATTAAAGTATTATCAAGATTTTTCGTAGTAGCGGATGCTGGATGATGACAAAAACTAAATTTCATCACACCGCGAATACGAACTTCTCCACCTAGACTTTTGACATGAAGCAATCTGGGACGAACCGCATTTTTCCATTGACAATACTGTACTGGAGTACTGGAGTTTTTCCGTGTTTCACAAAGGAGCTTCAATTACCAAAGAGCCCTGATTTGTCCTAGGGTAATTTTGACCGGTGTGATTTTGTCACCAAGCCCAAATCCGCTTTTAAAACAAATTTGTTAATACTTAAGACCAGTAATTAAGTAAGATTAATGAAAATATTATTCTTACTTTAACTGAATCACCTCTAAAATTTTTAGCATAAAGCTGGAAAATGTACTTAACGAATTTTTATTGTTTTATTCAACACTGTAGCGTCATTTAATAACAGATTGTGAATTAGTTTGCTAACATACCTGCCATTCTTGCCCTTACTAATTCCCATCTAGTCTTTCCATATCACTAACACATATTTGCAACTTTAGGTCATGCACAAACCAAATTCAAACAATAAAATTCATTACTTTCAACTACTCAATTACTGTCCAAATTAAAAAAACAAACTCATTAATAACTCGAGGAATAACACTCCTGATTTTAGACGAATGAACGGTATTTGCAATAGCACCTTAATTTTGATCGCCATAATCCATAAAAAATGAGACTATAACGTCGGTAATACAGAAAACGCATGTATCTAATCCAAAACGTATATACATGCCTTATAATCCCATGGATTTACAAAGAATTTCATCGCGAGGAGATATGATGAGGTGTACTTTTAATATACATAAAAGATACATACTATGTGCGTGATACTCCTGGTATATTTTAGATCTATGATGCATATTATGTTTTATACTTTGAGTGACTAAACATTCAAAATACATATTTATGGAATATCCATACTGGACCTAAAATACATATGTCCATAGTATATCCATAAGATAGGATATTCCCTGTACATTATGGATCTAAAAGGTATATGCGTAAGATATCGAATGCTATGTGGGATCACGCATGAGCAGGTGCGTGGGTATATCTGTGCTGGCCACCTCGAAGACAGTGAGACATGATCCGTAAAGAAAGTTCAAGAAAAGAAATGTAGCGAAAAATCTATGGGATTCGAACTCAGCACCTGCGAGGTGATAGTCCGAGTCTTAAACCATTACGCCAAACCGACTACTATTTATATTGGACATAGCATAATAAACTCAGTCGACATGAGCAAAGTTTCAGTTCCCGAAGTGAAACTAGATATAGCATCCATCCTTCAGGTGAAAGATCATATTATATGTATAGCAAGTTTAATTAGCGCTTCAATTTATTAATAACATGAAGTTTCACAGAATAGAACACTCCGAGGAACACTCTACAAAAAAGTTTCTGAGAAACTCTTGCATTAATACAGATGGTCGATTATTAAATCCCAGAGATTAAGTGGAAAATTTATAAAGTTTGACAGCCGAAGGCGTTGGTGTCAATTAACCGAATATATGTTAATTTTAACGACTTGGCGAACTGAGGCGTCCTTTGAGCTTGTCGTTTTTTTTTATATTTGTCCCGTTGAAATCGTAGTATTTTTTAAGATTTATCTCGAACTCTAAACGTTTACTGCACGAATCGATAGAAATAAAAAATCGTTTGAGAAATCACCGAATGACCGCATAAATTGTAAACATATGGTACGAGAGTTGTAGAAGATGCTATTTTAGGGGACTTGATGTTCGTTTGCGCGTAAAAGCTTAAAGAAGGTAGCGAACGTAATGCACCAGACTTACATTCAGCAAAATCCTCGACTCTGAATTTTTTTCCTAGATGAAGATTATTTTGATTTCAACGAAGCGGTCTATTTCAAAAGGATATGACAGAAAAAGTAACAAAATTGGACTTATTCAGCTCTTAAGTTTGTATGATCTAGTAAATCTGATTCCAATCAAACATTCGCCCTAAACATGATCTGCGTTTTTTTCAGTTGATATTCCCAGCAATTTCCCGGCGTGTGGCGTATTATTTCCTTAGAGGCTTAGAACAGCGAGGGATTTAGGGTGTAGTGGTTCATACTAGGCGAATTTGAAATTCTTACTGGTCTTGAGTATTAACAAATGTGTTCTAAAATTGGATTTAGACTTGGTGACAAAATCACACCGGTCAAAATTACCCTAGGACAAGTCAGCGTTCTTTGGTAATTGAAGCTCCTTTGTGAACCACGAAAAAACTCCAGTACTCCAGTACAGAAAGTGTTAATAGTCCGAAATATCCGGCCAAACTGCGGTTTTCAGCAAATAGACCCCACAAGCACAAAAAAACTAGCTGACATTAATTCTGGAACTTCACTTCTTTGTATGCACTTGATTTTCAACTTAGAAAGCACTGGGTTCGTTGTAATTACTGATTGCGCTTAACTTGACTTAAACAGTCACAACTAACTATCTTCTATACCACCTTTATTATCACCAACAAACCACCGTAATTTTTTGCGCCTGTTCGAGTAAATTAAACACATGTTTACGTCGGCGAAAAACATCTGGTTATCTAAACTGAATTAGCTCACGCAGTGATATCTAATCCTTATCGCAATGAGCGGAGATAACATGAGACAACTTTAACAAAAATTTCATTGATGAAAACAATATGCCGGAAACATGACTGGAGCGTCTTTAATTTTCGCTTGAAAAACAAACGATCCAGATTACTATGGGGAAATGAACAAGAGCAGTTTTCTTAAGTGGTTCGGAGACCATCTGGTACCAAATTTAGAAGGACCATCGCTGATTATTGTGCAAAATGCTAGTTGTCACAGTAGCTAACTGGAAAACTTGCCAAGTTCTTCCTGGACAAAAGCACAACTACAGCAAAAAAAGTTGAGTTTTCAAATGATGCATTAAAAGTGGAATTTTTGGAGATAGTTGCAATATTTGTTTCCTTAAATTCCATGCAGCATGGTTTATTCGAAACTATCTCTCTTGCGACGTTCAACAACCCGCTGGAACGATGCACGTTGATGATTTTGGAAAATATGACGTTCCCAGAATCCTAAAATTCGTGACCTGAATTTAACATTTGAAAAGTGTGAATTTTCTTTTGCTTTTGTTGTTTTTTAGATCGTGTATTTGTGGCTATGCCCGGGTTTTTGTCCCGAAGAAGGTTTCCCTGACATCGCCTGGTTCTGTGCGCAACATATTTTATGTTCTCGTCTTTTCTTACGCACAAAAATTAAATTGTAGTCGCTTCTCGATTTCTGCTGCTAAGTACTGCTGTCGATGATATTACGAAAAAAACAATTAAATTGATTTTCTTTTAATTTTTCCTTTACGTCCAAATAATGTCGACCTTGTTCGCGACATAGGCAACCTTTTTTTGAGTAAGTACTTGGGCGACAGAAGTCGTTGATGTATACTACCCACAATGCAGCACTGTCCGTATGACTGTCTACACACGTATTCTCTTCCATTGATGAGGTCATAATACACCAATAACGTGCGCGCAAACTAAGGAAAATCCTACTACACTGTAAATCTCAATGCATTTCCATTTTATTTTGGTCTAAGTCTACACGGATCTAATTTGTATAATGTTACTCCTCACTCGCGTATACAGGGTGTCTCAACCAAGATTTACGCCCCCTAATAAATCACTTTAGAAAAAAAACTCGAGCACGTCAAATATGTATTAAAATATGGAAGACAGTTTTGGTTTACTTGTTCCTTTCGTAAATGTTCCGGTTAATAACGAGGGGTGGAAATTTGATTTTGGACACCATGTACATATTATTGATGGTGATATAAGCATTTTAAATTTGCTTTACGTGTTATGTGAGAAATGCCACAATGGACCATTTAAATAGAATAGTATTGCTGTGGAACTTTCGAAAAAAAGGTGTAAATTCAGCCATTCCGCTTATTAGTGATAAGAAATAGTACGGTTTTGTGGTCAGTCAAAATCTAAGTGTCGCGAGTGAGCTTCAATTCATGTAGACCAATAAGGAAGAGTAACAACGTATTACGTAAAAACCTGTGAGTCTGATCGTACCTATTCCCGCGTTGAACCGTGCAATAAATTTGCAATTCAAAAGCAAAGTGAATTAAAATAATCACGTGCCGATATTAAGTTGTTGGTACGATTGCGTAAGCCAACAATGGTAGTGGACCCCCACGCAAAAGAGGTTGATTGTGATACAAAAACCCCGAACGGAGTCGGATAAGTGAATCGAACAGAGTGATCTCAGGACAAAGGAGAAATGCCTAAAGAGGGTAAGTTTTTCAATATGCAGATAAATGAACGCCTGCCAGTAGGCAACACATGACACGTCCGAGGAACATCACTGCGACTTGCAGAAAATTATGACTCAAATATTAAGACCGTAATGGCCGTGTTTACATGTACACAAACATTAAATTAGTAAAAAGGAAATTTGCATAATTTCCACGTTTTTCTAGATCCCGCGCTCGTATTGTCGGATTAAAAATAGAAGTGGCCGACTTGAACAATATGTGTCGGGTTGATTTGGCATGGAAATAGGGAACGATAAATTTTTGAAAATTATGCCGATTCGTTCGTAAATTAAAGTGAGTTCTATTTTCGTCGAAACAAAGAGGGCCATTTAGTAAAATCCTAATTAAGAGCGCGTAATTAAAATCGTTTTTTCCCTCGGCTAACAATAGTTGCGATGCTGCATTCTTTTCTAGCCGACGTGACTTGTTAAAATTGCAGCTTTGTCGGGACGAAAATGAAATACCCACGTGCCATTTTACAAATTCTAAGCGTAATTGCGTACACGTATTGTACACATTTCGCTTAAAACTGGGTGGGTTTCATTTGCCTAAACCTTATACCGTTGTTAATTACTCAATGCTTCTGCCGATTGAAACCCATAGTGATTATACCATTGAGTAATCCTTCACTCAACAATTATGCGATTTCTTGTAATATTGAGATTTGGATTTTTCGAGGCAATTTATGGCTAAATTTTCAATCTCAAGGCTACAGATTCAAAATTCGACAGCCATATTTTAAGCATCGAAGCATCCGAACGCCAAGGTTCCAAAAACTTTGAATCTTCCAGCTTCACGTCCCAAGTTCAAAAGTCAAAATTTCAGTTTTAAGATTCACTTTATACTCAAGATTCCGCTTTTAACTTTACGTTGACAATTCAAGCTTCAAGCTTGAAATTTAAAAGTATAAGCCGCGTTCAATTAACAAATGCCTCAATCTTTAATGTCGCAACTTCAATATCCGACCGATGCAGATTGCGCCTTTTGACTACATAGTATCATTGAATTTATAAATTCAATGATAGTATGTAATTTTGTCGCCATTTTGTGCTATTTTTTCTTCGACTTTTTATATTGAGATTCAAATTTCATACGTAAACATATGATGTACAGGGTGAGTCAACGATTGCGCGGAGTAACTTAATGCTTTGAAGATAAGATTTTTCGATAGAGTGCTTTTATATTATGATATGGTTGAATATTCTCCAGATTTTAAAAATATTTGGAATTATACAGGGTGCGCCGACAAAGTAGGCCGCCAAAATGGTACATTTTTTTAAATAGAACCCCCTGTATTTGAATGCATTTTTGAATTCTACGTCTAATTGTACGTCTTTTTTATTATATGGTTAATATCTGACTTTTTTTAAATGGAATACCCTGTATATTTTTCTGTCATCTTTTAGCTCCTCCAAAAACCTTCAACTTTTGATAATAATTTCCTATACCTATCTCTGATAGTTTTCGAAATATCTTGGTTTTCCTGGTTTTTATATTCTAATCTTAAATAAGTTATATGTAATTTACATAATAGTGAGGTAGCTATCCAAAAAAAAAGGCAATTTTATCTATCTCGTGCAAAACGAAAATCATATCGATTAATTTATTTTTCAAACAATTTATTTTAAGTCCAAAAACTGGAGAATAAGTAAAAACATTTTGACTACAAAGCAAATTTAATTTAACTCCTAATGTCATCCAGTCAGTGATATTAGTTTCATTTTTTTTTCATATTGACCCCATTATTATGTAAATTAGAACTTATTTCAGTTTAAAATATAAAAACCAGGAAAACCAAGATATTTGTTTATGTTTTAGTATCAAATTTATTCTCCAGTTTTTATAGACTTAAATGAATTATTAGAAAAATGAATTAATAAATATGATTTTAGCTTTGGAAGAGGCAGATAAAATTGCCTTTTTTTGCATGGCCACCTCACTATTATGTAATAACATATAACTTATTTAAGATTAGAATATAAAAACCAGGAAAACCAAGATATTTCGGAAACTATCAGAGATAGATATAGGACATTATTATCAAAAATTGAAGGTTTTTGGAGGAGCTAAAACATGACAGAAAAATATACAGGGTGTTCCATTTAAAAAAGTGAGATTTTTTAATATGAAGTTTTGTAACTTTGGATCTACAAAAAACAACACCCTGTAAGCTATTTTTTTTAATGTTTCATAGTAGATGTATTTATTTGACTTTTACTTAACCCAGGACAAAATATATAAAACCTGGATTCAAAATTTAAGTAATAATTGTGACAATACACTGACGCTTGCAAATGCCCAATTTTTCTTAAAAATCGATTTATCTTTAAAACTACTAGCTTTTCGGATATTAACCATATAATAAACAAAGACGTACAATTACACGTAGAATTCAAAAATACATTCAAATCCAGGGGGTTCAATTTAAAAAAATGTACCATTTTGGCGCCCTACTTTGTGGGCGCACCCTGTACAATTCCAAATATTTTTAAAATGTGTTAAAATTTGTGTCTATGATTTTGTTGTAAAGTACGGAGTGTAGCCGAAGTTTGCCACTTACAAGTATTTCAAGTGGAATATAAAGGTAGTGAATCGCTATTTTATATAGTTCTACGTTTTCGCAAAAATCGCCGTTTTTTATTAAGTTGGATGTATGATTGAAAAAGTGTAATGTGTGTTTGGCCGTTGGTAAACATCGTTGGCCGCCGTGGGCGTAGAGGGGCGGGTCTACGGTAGATCCCTAGGTATGCCGAACTCTACTTCGGCTCGCTCGGCATTGGTGTACAAAAAATGCGAGCCATTTTCATTGTGCGAAGGGTGAGCTCGAATTATGCCGAGCTCCCTTACGGCTCGCTCGGCATTAGTGTACGCTTCGCATTTTGTAACCAGAATCGTTTATAAACCCCTAAATTCGGGTCGGCAGTTGATTTATGCAGATCTCACTCGGCTTTGGTATATAAGGTGCGTTTGTTAAGAATCGAAAGTCCTAGATCACTTTACTTCGTTAGAGGAAGGGTGATCATTTTGAGTCATCTGCCATTTCGATTCAACCACGTTTGTTTATCACATGTCGCTTAATTCAATTTATTATACCTATAACCTCACGATATATGTCTTACACAATGCGAGTCGAACGTGTTTTTGATTTGTCTTAAACTGTAAACTTAGGGCCCTTCTGCATTGGTGTGGAAAAAACTGTAATGTGCGTTTAGCCGTTGCTGAACGTGGTTTGCCACCATGGACGTAGAGAGGCGAGTCTAAGGGAGGGCCCGAGCTATGCCGAACTCTCCTTCGGTTCGCTCGGCATTGGTGTACAAAATGTGTAGTGTGCGTTTGCCGTTGGTAAACTTCGTTTGACACCGTGGAAGTAGAGAGGCGAGTCCAAGGGAGTACCCGAGCTATGCTGAACTCGCCTTCGGCTCGCTCGGAATTGGTGTACAAAATGTGTAGTGTGCGTTTGGCTGTTGGTAAACTTCGTTTGTCACCGTGGACGTAGAAAGACGAGTCTAAGGGAGGACCCGAGCTATGCCGAACTCGCTTTCAGCTCGCTCGGCATTGGTGTGCAAAAAAGTGTAGTGTGTATTTGGCTCTTGGTATGCTACCGGGGACGTAGAAAGGCGAGTCTAAGGGAGGACCCGAGCTATGCCGAACTCGCTTTCAGCTCGCTCGGCATTGGTGTGCAAAAAAGTGTAGTGTGTATTTGGCTCTTGGTATGCTACCGGGGACGTAGAAAGGCGAGTTTAGCAGAAGACACGAGCCGGTGTGTAAAAGAGTGTAGTGTCTGTTTGGCCGTTGGTAAACGTCGTTTGCCACCGTGGACGTAGAAAGGCGACTCTAAGGGAGAGCCCGAGCTATGCCGAACTCGCCTTCGACTCGCTCGGCATTGGTCAAGTGGTCTAAGTCCCGAAAATGTTTAAAGATAAAATCGGAATTATTGAGGGAGTAAATTCTATCTTAATTAAGATTGTAGGAAGTAAATTAAAGCGAATGGCAGCACACTTTTATGGCCTATTTAAATTTAATTAAGGAATGATACATTTATCCATTAGCGTTTCTCGTAATTACACTTAACCAATAAAAAACACCGGGTCGAACGTATATTTTTATACACACGGACGAAGCTGTATTACGGAAAAATTTGTAAGCCTTCCCGAGGAAAAAAACAAAAGCTATAACAGTAAGTGGCTTTAAAAGCTCTTTCGCCGTCTTTATGTTTCATTAATGCAATATAAAAAACAGCGCGGAAAATTTAATTAACCGGCTTTGGAGAAAAACTAAGGTACTCGTGGCCAGGATTTCATTCACTTCGTTGATAATTAAGAAGGAAGTCGGGCGTCATTTATGCGCTCTTGAACAGACATTAATTCAAAACTGGTAGCTACAAAATGCTTTTACATGCTTTGTAGGAGTTTTTGTATTGGTTGGTATTCTATACCCCCCAGCTTGCTCCCCCCCCCCCTCCCACGTTGAACCAAAACGAGAGCCCTTTACTACTCGTCCTATACATTTCATTATGGAATATCTTACAGTAAGAGAGTTTATTCTCCACATGCCCAAAATTAAAGACGGCAAAACTACCAAATGAACGGCGTAAAAAACAACACCGAAAGTGTCCCGATAGACGTTCGTCTCCCCTACTAAAAACAGTTTCCCTTTCTTTTAAACTTTCTCCTCCACTTGCTTAACAAATTAATGCGTCTTTGAACGGTAAACTATGTTTTCCTATCTTGAAACTAATTAGCTTCAAAACTCATCTATAACAGGAGATCAACTTTTACAAATGCTACGCAATTATGTCCAGATGTTCAACTCTCGTGTTGTCACACGTAACAAAATTGAACAAATAAATAAAGTACAAAGTGATTGTTTAAACAAAATTAAAACCTAATCATTCTGATAAAACGTCCACAACAATATTGTTGCGTGAACAAGGTCATGTAGACATTATTTCGGTCTAAACGCCAAAAAAATGACGAGAT